GTCCTTTGTCAGATATGTGGTTTACAAACGTTTTCTCCCAGTCTATGGCTTGTCTTTTCATCCTTAGTACCTGGGCTCTCATGGAGTAAGTTTTTACTTTTGATGGAATCCGATTTCTCATTTTTTCCTTTTATAACTTCTGCTTTTGATGTCAAGACTAAGAACTCTTTGCTTAGTCCCAATCCCAAAAGTGTCTCCAATTTATTTATTTATTTATTTATTTATTTATTTATTTATTTATTGAGGCAGAGTCTCACTCTGTCGCCCAGGCTGGAGTACAGTGGTGCAATCTCACTGCAAGCTCCGCCTCCCGGGTTCACGCCATTCTCCTGCCTCAGCCTCCCGAATAGCTGGGACTACAGGCGCCCACCACCGCGCCTGGCTAATTTTTTGTATTTTTAGTAGAGACGGAGTTTCACCGTGTTGGCCAGGATGGTCTCGATCTCCTGACCTCGTGATCCGCCTGCCTCGGCCTCCCAAAGTGCTGGGATTACAGGCGTGAGCCACCGCCCCCAGCCGTCTCCATTTTTTTTTACTACAAGTTTTATTATTTTATGTTTAATTTTTAAACCCATGGTCCATTTTTAAGTGATTTTCATAAGATAGGAAGTATAGATTAAGGTCCACTTTTTTGCCTATAGATGTTCAATTTTTCCAGCATCACTTGTTGAGGGCTCTTCTTCCTCCATTGAAATGCTTTTTCACCTTTAAAACAAATCAATTGAGCATATTTGTGTGGGTCTAGTTCTGAATTCTCCATTCTGTTCACTGTTCTATATGTCTATATGTTCTCTATGTCTATCCCTCCACCAATCCACAGTCTTGATTACTGGAGCTATAATAGTAGGCGTTAATATCAGGTAAAGTGATTGATCTTGTTTTATTCTTCTTTGACAGCATTGCTTTAGTTATTCCAGGTCCTGTGCATTTCCACATAAATTTTAAAATAAGTTTGTATCTACCCCCCAAAAAAAATTGCTGAGATTTTGACAGGAATTTTATTAGACCTGTAGATCAATTTGGGAAGAATTGACATCTTTACTATGTTGAGTCTTCCAATTCATAAACACGGTATTTCTCCTCACTTATTTAGGTCTTCTCTGATTTCTTTTATCTGCATTTTGTAATCTCAATGCACATAAACTGTGTGTGTTTTTCTAAGTGGATATTTAAGTTTTATTTTTATTTGGAATTATTATAAATAATATCGTTTCTAATTTTCATTTCCATATGATCATTGTTAGTATAAAGAAATGATTCATTTTTTACATTGATCATATATCGTGCAGCCCTAGTGAACTCACTCGTTTCAAGGGTGTCTTCGTAGATTCCTTTGGATTTTTCTGTAGACAGTCATGTCATTTGTAAATAGAGACCATTTTATGTTTACCTTTCCAAACTGCATGCCTTTTTTTTTTCTTTTATTTGGTTTATTGCAGCAACTATTAATATAACTTACAATACTATGTTGAATAAGAGTGATGAAAATATACATCTTGGTTGTTCTTAATATTAGGGAAAAGCATTCAGTCTTTCACTATTAAGTATGATGTTAGGTTTGTTGTAAATGCTATTTATCTAATTAAACTGTTAAACCTCTTTTCCTAAGTTGCTGAGAGTTTTTTTAATCATAAATGGGTGTTAGATTTTGTCAAATGCTATTTCTTCATCAATTTATATGGTTATATTTTTTTCCTTAGCTTTATTGTATAATGCATTATATTGATTGAGTTTAACCATTGAGCTAGCCTTGCATACCTGGAATAAATCCTACTTGCCTATATATTGACTGATTGACTAGCAAAAATATTTGCTAATATTTTGTTGAGGATTTTTGTGTCTAAGTTTATGATATATATTGGTATGTAGTTTTTGTTTTGCTTCATTTTATTGTCTTTGTCTGGTTTTGGTGTCAGGGTAATACTGACTTCATAAAAAGATTGAGAAAGTTTTTTCTCCTCTATTTTCCGGGAGAAATTGTGTGAAAATGATATATTCTTATTTAAATGTCTGGTTGATTTTTCCAGTGAAACCATTTGGCCTGGACATTTCTGTTTGGGGAGATTTTAACTATCAATTCAATTGCTTTAGAGGTTATAGGGCTACCCAGATTGTCTATTTCTTCTTTGTTGAGTTTTGGTAGCTTGTAGTTTTACAGTATTTGGTCCATTTCTCCTAAGTTATCAAGTGTATGTGCATAAAGTTACTCATAGTACTCCTTCATTTTTTCAGTGGCTGTAGAATCTGTAGTGATATCCCCTATTACATTCCTGACATTGGGGATTTTTTGTCAGCTTTCAAGAAAGAGATTTATCAACTTTGTTGATTTTCTCAAGGAACTACTTTTTTGTTACATGGATTTTCCATATTGTTTTCCTGTTTTCAGTTTCATTAATTTATGCTTTTTTCTATATTATTTCCTTCTGTCTTCTTCCTTTGGGTTTATTTTACCCTTCTTTTTCCAATTTCTTGAGGTAGGAACTAAGATTATTAATATGAGACCTTTCTTCATCTATAATGTAAGCATTTAGTGCTATAAATTTTCTTCTCAGCACTTCTTTTACTACATCCTACATATTTTGTTATGTCATTTTTTATTTTCATTCAGTTCAATGTATTTTTTTAATTTTTTGAGACTTTCTCTTTGACCAATGGATTACTGAGAAGAATATTGTTTAATTTCCACATGCTTAGAGATTTGCTTGTCTTTCTGTTATTGATTTCTAGTTTTATTCCATTGTGGCTTGAGAACACATTCTGATTTTATTCTTTTAAACTTGTTGAAATTTGTTTATGACCCAGAACATAATCTATCTTAATAAATGTGCATAGATGCTTTTTAAAAATGTGTATTCTGCTGATGTTAGGTGAAATGTCTCATATCCGTCAGATCCTGTAGGTTGAATGTGTTGTTCAGATAGTTCACATACTTGTTAAATTTCTTTCTAGTAGTTCTATGCCCATAGTTCTGAGCAAGGATAAGGTGTGTTAATGAAGTCCCCAAATACGACTTAACATTTGTCTATTTTTCCTTTCAACCCTATTAGTTTCACTTTATGAATTTTGAGACTCTCCTGTCATTTTTCCCTCCCTCCTTAAAAAAAAAAAAGCAGCAAACAATATTTCTGAACAATAGGGCTTGAATAAAGAACTTGTAAATGTAATTTATCCTGCCTTACTGCAACATAGGAATAGTGCAGTGACCTTGACATACCTAAGAACAATGGGCATCTGTCGTTTGTTAAGAACAGTGGACATACTGGTGTCATCTGTTTCCATGAAAAACAAAAATTACTACACAGTAGTGTTCAGGGACACAGGCCACATTTGGGATTTTCTTGGGATTTTCTTATAATATGAGTACTCACAACTGGCGTTCCAAATGTCCTGGCAGAAGTAGGAATTAGGGGCAGGGATTAAAAAGTGGATCTGCCATTTAACCTAAGTTGGGTACAGGCACAACTACATGGGCATTTTGGGCTTGAGTATGTTTTCTGTATTTGGAAAGATGTGCTGGATTAACAACAAATGATCTGGCACTTTATATACCTTAATAAAGGAACAGACTCAACTAGCCAGATATACATTCAAAACCAAAACAAAGCCAAAACCAGACAAAACCTTCGGATTATTAATGAGTGTATGTTGACCCTCGTTTTGGTTATCTGCATAAAGTCATTTTTGAAGGTTTATCCTATAAGTAGTTTTGAATAACGGTGAGTAAGCAGTGATGATATTGGATATTTATTTCCCATCATGAGAAATATTTGTGGATTACTTAGTGCAAAATAAAAGAAGGATAGAATGATAGCTCTACTAGTCCTTTCAAAAGTGCAGCATATCATCCCATGCTCTAACTAAAGAAACAGACATTTGCCTGAAATTTGCAACAAAAATGCCACTTTTATAAATTTGGTAACAGTTTTTATCCTGCGAGTAGAATGGGAGAGTGGGGAGTAGGTTAGAATGTTTACTTTCTCTGCTTTCTATTTCTGTGATGTTTGGAAGTTTTAATAAAGGCAATATATTACTTTTACAATTAAGATATTATGATAAAAATCTATAAATATTGTTCTACGTTATAAATGTTGAATCAACCCTTGCTTTAAAACAAGAAAGGGAATTATTTTTAAAGGAAAAACAATTTTGATAAATTAAGTGCTTGTTCCTATAGGGACAACAAGATGACCGTGCTAAGCTTGCTCCTGAAATGCTTTCGTTTTACAAATTCCATTTGGTTTTTCATTCTATCACTGACTGTTTAATGAGCCACTTTAGCTGGCCTTTCCCCAGGGTTAACTCACAACTCTTCCTAAATAATCTCAGTCATTTTCCTGGAGCAGGTGTTGTTTTCTAAGCAGCTCTTGCCAAAGGGCAGCATAATAATTAACAAGCTTCAGGTCGGAAGGATTCAGGGTCTCATTTCTGGCAAAGGATATGTGTCTCACACTGTAATACTTTTGAAACTTACTGTTTTTTAAGGAGATTTTGACACTGTAACGAAAGAATTCAGTATACTTCTAAATATTTGCTTCTTTTTCTCTGAGAACAACTCTCGAAGATTTAGAGATTATGTCACTCCTTGCAGCAAAATGAAGCTCTATTTTCTGTAAAACTTGCCATTATATTTCAGGATTCGCTATTTTATTTCGGATATTTCACATGTTACTGGGTAGCTAAAGTCAGCTACACTATAAATTCCAGACGAGAGAGATCCATTATTCAGCCTGCACATTTAGTATTGAAACTGACTCCCAAATTTGCAAAGTATTAGTGACTTGAAAAGGAAGAGCATTCCATGATAGGAAATGCAGACAGTATGAGGTTCAAATGCTCTCCAGATTTAGTTTGATTTGGAGAAAGGAAATGTTCTTAACTTTAGATATTAACAACTAGATCCTTTAGACAAAGTGCCTAAATGTCCAAAAATATCCATAGAGCTTCTTACTGTGGTTTGCTTCATAATGCTTCTCTCTGATATGTCTTATCTGATATTTTAGGAGTTCGTGATGATTGTCGTCTTTGGTTTGGAGTTCATCATTCGAATCTGGTCTGCGGGTTGCTGTTGTCGGTATAGAGGATGGCAAGGAAGACTGAGGTTTGCTCGAAAGCCCTTCTGTGTTATAGGTGAATATCAGAGTCTCAGATACCTGGACTGATGACACCAACATTCTTTTCTTCTATCTCCTGTTTTGCAATATTTGATTAATATTAAAAGCTAACATCCATGGAGTACTTATCATGGACCAGGCACTCGTGTTTTGAAAATGTTGACTCATTTGATGTTGACTCCACAGCATTATGAGGTAGATATTTTTATTATCCCCATTTTACAGTTGAAGAATTTGAGGTGAAGAGAGGCTAAGTTCGTTGCTGAATTCATACAGCTACTAAATGGTAGAGCTGGAATTTTAGCCAGGCAATCTGGCTCTAGAATACCCACTTATATCGATTAACTTATATGGAAATACATGGTTCTCCAGTGTTGCCCTGATTTAGGGGAACATTGATTTCAGTGAGTATAAAAGACCCTTTTTGCTCTACAATATGACACCAGGTTATGCTCTGGATCAGCTGGAATAGATGGCAATACATTGATACTGGTAATGCATATCAATTAACATTCTTCAAGAATGATTATAAGTATGGTTTACTTAATGCATTGGTAACTGTAGACTGGACAAAGTGCTCTACACCCTAAAATATGGGTCCTCCACCCTCCAACCCAAAATACCCAAATACATAGCACATCTCTGCACCTCCCTAGCTGCTATGGTTTCTGAGAGACATCATTCACCTGGGTTCCAGCTTGAAATTGTACTTCCTAATGAAGATGCCATAGAGCATTCTGGAATTAAGATCTGGCATTTCCCAGTAATATTTAAAAGTATTACAAAATTGAAAAGTCTATATATAAAAGCTATTATTATTATTATTTAGCAGCTAAATTTGGCTTTCTTGCTTTTTTGTCTGTCTCGCTTCTTAGGCAGCCATTCAAACCCAAATACTGCAAATTCTTGATGAGGCTTGTTTATTTCAACTATTTTCAACCTGAAAAAGTAGGTTTTTAATTTACAAAATAGGTTAGGCTATCTTCTTCAGATAGCATAGGTTTTCTGTTTTGTTTTAGGAGTCAGGAATTATTGAGTGATCTTCTTAGTTTCCTCCCTTACTCCTGTTCCCTATGGTGGGGGCAGAGTGGATTTAGGAAGAAAGTATATCACCATCCATGGACACTGTTAAGAAGAATCCTTTATTCCATACTTCTTTCATAGTATGCACATCTCAAAAGTCTCCACTTACTAAACCAGAATTTATGGAAATGTGGCTGTGTGTGAGGCATTGGTGTTACAATAGTGAATCTAGTGGAATTCTAAGTTAAATCTATCTTAAAATACCTGGTTTGGCCCTCATGAATGCAGTCTGTTTGTCCAGCTGTCTATCTTCTCCAATAATAAGCTTTACTTCTTTTTGGAAGCCATCATGCTAAGGTATGGAGCAAAGTAGGTGGTAACTCCAAGCCTTGCAGGTTCATAAAGCCCCAAGGCATATTAGTGAAGGCATTAGATTTTTCTCCCTGGACATGGTTTTTTCTCTCTCAATTCGCTACTCAGGCAGCATTACAAAGGACTGTAACTTGATGTGAAACTACTGCACAACAAGTACTTTCTGTCCCATAAGGGGCCCAAACAAAACAATTCACAAGGCAGATGGTTAGCCAAGATTCACTCAACTTCTACAGGATAAGGTCAGTTCATGGATGACTGGAAAAATGTTTCATTCCAGATTTTAAAACCAATTAAAAGTTGGCTTTGTTCCAATTCCAGAAGCAATGCCAATGTATCTCTGGCCACCATGCGAAAAAGAAAGCTTTTTCCCAGATGTCTGCTGCCTTTTGATAGCTGTTTTCAGCTATGGATACATCAACACATCTTAGTCCTTTGGTCTTTGTCTTCCTGTCTCAGGTCCTTGAAGGTCTTGATATAACATGTAGTTCTAAAAATGGTGTTATGTTATCTGTAATCTTACTTGCCTTTGGACCTATCAATAGTGACCTTAAAAATGTAGTATGATGCCTGGCGCAGTCACTCCTGCCTGTAATTCCAGCCCTTTGGAAGGCTGAGGAAGACAGATCACTTGAGCCCAGGAGTTTAAGACCAGCCTGGGATGGAAAGACCCTGTCTCTACAAAAATTTAAAAATTAGCCGGGCATGGTGACACGAACCTGTAGTCCCAGTTACTCAGAAGGCTGAGACTGGAGGATCACTTGAGCCCAGGAGTTTGAGGCTGCAGTGAGCCATGTTCCTGCCACTACACTCCAGCCTGAGTAAAAAGAGTAAGATCCTGTCTCAAAAAAGTACTAGTATGACATGGTTTAGGCATAATTGCAGTTTTGTTAACCCTTTAGACCTTTTCTTTATTTAGATATTTTACCTCTAGTAAATTAATTGCTTTGGAAGAAAATTTCATGGATAAATATATAATGAATCCCCATTAGAACAAAGTCTACATTTGTAGTTACAGTTAGGATAACTATGAATTTTTTTAATCTTTTATTAAATGTACATATTTGACCCATGGCCCAGCTGAATGGATGTTATAGTGAAGCATGTTCAAATGTGGCTTATCAGTATGAGGTCAGTAAAATTTAACCTACACTAAAGATTCAAACATCACCTTCCTAAAGGCAGCAAGCTGTACCAGATGACTATTGAGACTATTTCTAGGCCTGTCCAACAGGTTCATAAAAATGCTTGATGTAACTGGTAAAATACTAAAGTGAACACTGTAGTCCGCTTGTTCAACCTAATTTACTGTGACAAAATGAAAAAAGGAATAGCATCTGTCATCTGTCCATGATAACTGTTCTGAATGGATGTTTGGAAATGTAGCTAAAACCTCTCAAAACTTCATATATTTGTAAGATTTGATTACTCTGAATATGCCAAGTATACACCCAAATGTTTTTAGAAGTCTTGAGCATTCGAGAAAAGAACATAGAAAAGATTGTGGTAGACTGACTGTGCCTTCAACCTGGGAAATGCTTTCTGTAAGCACACCAATGTTTTTCTTTCCAATTGGAAACAGACTGAAGCTGCTACAGTGGTCAGCTAACAAGTCTCATGTAGTATTGCACCCTTTTGACAAAGGCCCAATTGATAGAGGTTTTATGGACTAATTCCTAAAGATTTTAGCATATGCCCTTCTGAACTGCCCACCTTCCTTACCCCTGCACTCTGGCCAAAGCCAAGAGCATTTCAAAAGCTCATTGATTTCACAAATCATAAAATCATTACATATTTGTGTTTGGAAAACATATTTTAAACAATTGTAACATAAGGGAAGAAACTAATCTATTTAACTCTTTTTAATTAGGTACTTTCTTTCATTGCTACTGTACATTGATTTATCTCTGCTTGGTTTTAAGCATTTGCTTTGAAAATTGGTAAAATCTTATCTTGAATATAAAATTCTTCCTCATATCTATCTGTTCAATTTTTATGTCTCCTCTAAGACTCTTCTGTCATAATAACTTGTCTAGAGCTATGAGCACTAATTGCTGCATTGCTGATTTGGATAGTCAAATGTGTTTTGGGATGACCACCCAAGCTGCCCTTCATTTACCTGGACAGGCTGCTTTATGATTTCTCTATGTGAAAACACAAAACACTCACCCGATAACATTGGCATAAAGAATTTGTGAATAACCTCTAAGACTGATTTCATAGTCATTCTTTTTTCTAGCTTTCATTACTGACCTACCCAAAAATTGCAGATAGACCAAAGGCTGAAACTCGGATCACCAATAATGAGCCTGATGTGTCAGGAAGCCAACAAATTACTTCTCACAGTGGCTTTTTTTAGATTCCTTGGTGACGCTTTCCAAAGGCAGATATAACAGGGCCATATTTTTCAGTCTTGCAGAGAGTCTCAGTGAGAAAATACCAGCCTGTTATTAGTCTTGGATCTATATTTGATGCCAAGTGTAAGTTGATTTCTTATTGTTATTTTAACAGTTTATTTTCAGTGTAATTATTTCCACAAGAGGACAAAAGAGGCATAAAATAAAATTTTATTTTATCCTACATGGATAAAATAAAATTGAAGCCTTTATTAAAATCAACCAGATGGCTGAGGCTACTCTAATATACCTACGATTTCATCTTATTAAAAGGCAACTTAAGTTGCTAATGTGTTCAAAAGTTAGATCACAGACTCCCAAAACTGCAACTGTGTTCTAAATTGATTTGAGACATCATTTTTCTGTTTCTGTCTTCTTTATCTTTTGTTCCAAGAAACTTACTCTTGAGTGACATTATTTTCTATACCTTCTACTCCTTTTTCTCCTTTAGTAGAAATTATATTATTTCACTTGTTTTCTGTTAGTCATACACTCTTCTGTGACTTTTTACTTCTAAGTGTTCAAACTCCCTCAGTGCACATAGATTCCTTCCATGTGATTAACTGGACCATCTGAGGACAATTAAAACCTGTTGGATTGACTTATCACAAAAACATTAAAACAATTTTAATCCCTCTAGTTAATAATAGCTGATATTTACTGAGAACTACTATATATTAAGTACTACTCTAAGCGCTTTATAAATATGGTCTTATTTAATTCTATGTAAGTACTGTAATGTCCCTATTTATTTTATTTTATTTTATTTTATTCTATTTTATTTTATTTTATTTATTTTTTGAGACAGAGTTTCCCTCTCTCACCCAAGCTGGAGTCCAGTGGCACAGTCTCAGCTCACTGCAACCTCCACCTCCTGGGTTCAAGCCATTCTCATGCCCCAGCCTCCCGAGTAGCTGGGACTACAGGCACACACCACCACACCCAGCTAATTTTTGCATTTTCAGTAGAGATAGGATTTCACTGTGTTGGCCAGGCTGGTCTTGAACTCCTGGCCTCAAGTGATCCACCTGCCTCAGCCTCCCAAAGTGCTGGTATTACAGGTGTGAGACATCATGCCTGTCCTTTATAATGTCCCATTTTATAGATGAGGAAGTAAGATAAGACTTAAGAAACATGCCCAAAGTTTAAAAAAAAAATGGTAGGTGAAAGAACCTGGATTTATTTCTCATGATTTCACTCTAGAAAAGTATACATACCCAACTGG